ACAAACCGTACATGTTAGCTTCGTTTGGGGATAACTGGGTGCAATACAAGGCGCACCCATCTGAACACCATGGACCCTGTCACCGCGGTCGGCCGTACGTACAACAATAGTCATTCGGACCACGCAAAGAACTGACAGAACAACAACAGTCGTCGCCGCCATCATTCAGCTCGTCGAGTTCGGCACCAAGGTCACTGAACGCTTCACTGACTTCAGCTCGGCTGGGCTCCAGGATGGCCCGCCCACAGCCTTCAAATATATCATGGCTGTCCTACCTCTTATCATGGAAGGCCTGCAGAATTTGCAAAGCCGCATTTCCGACGTCACTGCCCAAGCTCGAGTCACGCTCCACACTGTTGTGCAAAGCTGCCTCTCAGATGTACAAACGCTGAACCAGATTCTTGACAAGGTTTTGCCGTCTTCTAAAGCCTCAAAATGGGAGAAGGGGAAGAAAGCGCTCGCCAGCATCCAATGTGACAAGGAAATTGATAGAATCGCGGGCGCAATAAAGACGTATATCGGGGTATTGACTTTCCATCAGGTTGTTGAGATGTCCCAGAATTACAAGGTAAAGAAGCCAACTTCTCCCCAAAAGGGATTCTGGGTGGTGCCATATGATAAAAACAGGTCGTTTGTGCAACGTGATGGTATTTTTGACGAGATCGAGAGGGAGCTCAGCGTAGGAGAAGGAGTACAGCCAAGGACAGCCTTGTATGGCTTGGGAGGAATAGGGTGAGTTGCATTCATCGCGCACGACCAATTCTCTCTGACGGATTACAGAAAATCCCAGATTGCGCTGGAGTATTGCTATCGAAGACAAAAGAAGGACGAGAGGTGCAGCGTTTTCTGGTGCAACGCTGCGACAGTCGCTCGTTTTGAGGAGTCACTGAGCCGCATCGCTAAAGAATGCCGCCTTGTCTTAAAGGAGGAGACGGGAACGGACGTGGCAGAAGCGTTGAAACCCTGGCTCGAGTCCCAAGACCAAGGTCGATGGCTGATGGTTATCGACAACGTCGATGATGCAAATATCTTCTACGAACAACCCACGAGGGCCGGGAAAAAGATATCCGAGTGCATACCGCAATGTGCAAACGGCTCCCTGATATTCACCACCAGAAACAGTGACATTGCGATTGACGTGGCCAACCCCGCGAAACCCATTATTATCCCAGAGATGAACGTGGCCGAGGGCCTGAAGCTGGCGAGGACGCGATTGCCCGACGACACACCGGAAGACCTGCTCATCGAGTTGCTTCAGGTGCTTGAGTTCATTCCGTTGGCAATCACACAAGCTAGCGCCTTTATAGCAAAGAGGAAAAAGACAGTCCGGTATTATTTGGAGCAGTATCGAAAGAGCGATGCGACGAAGACGAGACTGCTCAGTTATGAGTTCTCTGACCATGCCCGCCAAGGAAGCACAATGGAGTCTCTTGCCAAAACATGGATGCTATCGTTCGACGCGATTCGAGAGTCCAATCCCAGAGCGGCCGAGCTGTTGTGTCTGATGACATTCTTCCAACACCAGGAAATTCCTGCCATTCTGCTACAGAACGAGGAAGAGGACGAGCTTGACTTCCAAGACGCTTCTGCCCTACTGAAGGCATTCTCTTTCATTGATGCCGACGAAGAAGACTCGATATTCAGCACGCACCGGCTGGTTCAACTGGCGACGAAATGGTGGCTTCAGAAGGAGTTACCCGCCGAAACGGAGAGATGGGCATCCGCCGCTCTTAAGTCTGTGGCAACTCAATTCCCCAAGCCTACTTGGACCCAATAATGAGTATTTCATCCTCGGGGAGGTTCTGTTGCCCCATGCTGAACTCATGCTGAGGTACGAATTTAAAACTCCCCTGCAGGGGGTCGAGCTTGCGAGAGCGAAGCTTCTAAACTCATCCGGACACTACCTCTACTGGATAGGCAGTTACGACGATGTTCAATCCCGATTTGAACAGTCCATGGACATCAACAAACTGCATCTCGGCGAAAAACACGTCGATACGATGATCAGCATGGGCTCGCTGGGCTGGATACTCGGCAAATGCCACCAGAATCCAAAGGCGGTGCCTATACTTGAACGTCTCGTCGAACTTCGAAAAGAAGTTCTGGGCGAAGATGACCCCCAGACAATTGACGCATTGAGTGACCTTGCGAGCGCGATTTGGACAACGGGTGACCTACCCAGGTCAGAAGCTATGCAACGCGAGGCGATGGCTCATAGTGAGCGAGTCTTGACCAGGCGACATATCGACACTCTGAACTGTATGGAGGGTCTTGCATTGCTTCTCGATGATCAGGGTAAGACAACTGAGGCAGTGATTCTTCAGCGCGAAGTCTACACCACCAGGCTAGAAATGTTTGGGGCAACAGACAGGGGTGTATTAGTAGCGGAGCACAACCTCGCCATTATGCTAATATGGGATGAAGAAACGTACACGGAATCATATGATTTGCTCAGGAACAACGTTCAAAAGAAGAGGGAGATCTACGGACACGACCATAGAGAGACGCTGGTGGGGATCTTTCAATTTGCATGTTTGCTACGTAGGATGGACAGGTTCGAAGAGTCGAAAGATTTATGTCTACAGGCGTTGAACGATTTGGATGATGGACCGAGGAAGAACTTTGAAATGACACAGAAACTGAGAGAAGTGATTGAGATTGTGTTGGAACTTAGTTTGAGAGGGCTACGCAGGTAGAATGAATGGAACAACCGAGCAGCTTAAAGGCCACACTGTTTAGAGTAGTAGATTAGCATTTTGGGCATAGTTTTTTTCCTTCAAGTTTAAATATAAAAGTAATGAAATAATAAAATAGACCAGTTATTTTATTATTTAAATTTTTCATAAAATTCTTCACTATTTATAATACTTACCTTACTATCTTGCTTACCAACTTCTTGTTCCTACTTTTAGATCCAACGTTAGAGCTCATTCGCCCTTTCCTAAAGCTTCAAAAAGGTATCTAACCTTAAGACTGGTGGCACCTGGGCACTGAATCCTCTTCTCATCGCCGTCTCTTCTTTTCAATCATCTCTCACCATCTCCTCATCGACCTCTCCATCATGAATAGCTTTGCTCCCGCCGACCCCCCGTCTCCCCCCCCTGACTACCCTCCTCAAGACGACCCAGCCGAGATTGTTACCTTCGACGCGGATAATATCGCCAAGCTCGTCTCGGAAGGTACTTTCTGGTCGTCTGAACACAAAGATTTCGTCTACCTCCACAAACGACGTGTGCAGCGATACGGCGACGGGGAATACAAAGATATACCCCTTCCTCCACGCCCTGGACCACTGAAAGAGAAACCTCGGAGCTTCGACGACTTTGTTCTCATTCCTAAATTCATGATATCAACGGCGGCGCTTGTGTTTTTTGGCTTCACCTAGGATACTGCCGAAATCATCTACACTCGTTGGCAGTAGTGGAGCAGTGGGAAACATGTCGGATTCGCGAAGATGGCCAGGGCGCACATTCTCGGGGCGGGCAAGGATGCTGAAAGCGACGACGACGACGACGTCTGGCGTGCTACCATGACGCGCTGTGGCATCAATGAGGGTCTCCAGGATGTGATTATGACGCCTATGTGTAGGATTGCCCGTCGCACTCGATCCTGCAAGTTCTGGCTCCTGGATACCGTGACGGCCCGTTCCAAATCCTTGTTGCAGATTAGAGAGGCATCGCACAACCGTGGATGGTTGAACTACAAATACGGCTTCGATCATGAAGAAGAAAAAGACGACAGATATTTCCACGGAGTTCCTGGCATGAGTCCCAAGACGGCCTTGGACCCGGAGATTTCTGCTCACCGCGGAGATCACACTGTCCTTTACCAGACAGGTTACGAGACAGAATTCAAGAGCATGTTCAGCGACCAAGGCCTTATAACCAATCTTGAGCCCCTTATGCACCCAACAAGGCTATCGGGGGATTTTCATGCAGCAAATCACGCCATTTACTTGCATCCTCATTACCAGATGGCCGTCACATTCGCCTACTTCGCCAAGAAGAGGGACCCAACGCAAATCTCTGTCTTGCTGCGAATCGAGATTCCGAATGAGAGATTGAACGAGCTCTCGTTTGGAACCGAACAGTGCATCGCGTACTGGCCTGGCACCTTTTGGAAGTCGCTTGTTTGGAACTGTCGAAGATGTGTCAAGCCGAAAAACGAACTGAGGGAAGCCGAAAGGGCCACACTGGTCAAGGGCAACATCTGCGCCGTCTCAGATGCCGTCATTGCCAAACTTCCGACGCCTGCACATATGGAACAAAGAATGGTCTTGCCGGCATTAAGGGGGACTAACGCAGTCCAGTACGGCTTTATTGGCCAACAAGGAGTCCAGTTTCTATGTGGCTTCATGTGCTCAGTTTACCCATTCACTCATGCCAGTGAGAAGGGGGTCGAGAGGGCGTGCGAAAAGAGGGATAAGAGGAGGCGGATGCAGACGCAGAGTGAGGAGTTGGAAGTGATTGAGGAGGAGTCGGAAGAGGAGTAAAACAGTGGATATAAACAGCGATGGATAAGTAGCGATGAAAGATGGTAACAAACGCGCCAGGTGATGGCGAATAAGTAGCGACAAATTAGATAGGTAATTGATTATTGTGTATTTTTCATTTTGTTTTCCCCTTTGCTCTCTCAATTGATAGTTGTGGACGAGCATTCGCGTGTGCCCCATCTTAATTGCATGACACCATGCGGACACAAATTAGCATCATGGAAGATGGACCTGAACCGTCGGTCCGTTGGCTAAAAAAAACAGGCACAGTCGCCCTCTGCTCGATTCTCACGCCGTTCTTTGCCAAACAAACCATTTGTCCAAACATGCAAAAATGAAAGATTCAAGGTCCGAACGTGGATCGAACACGTGACCTAGAGATCTGCAATCTCTCGCTCTACCGCTGAGCTATCGAACCTCTTTCTTTGATGAATGCAGGAGCTTTCGAAGGTACTCAAGAAGTTTGCACTGGCATCTTCTTGAAAAGAAGAAAATTCGACAAAAAGAGAGGTCCGAACGTGGATCGAACACGTGACCTAGAGATCTGCAATCTCTCGCTCTACCACTGAGCTATCGAACCCGGTTGATTTTGATGGCGGAAGGAGTGAAAAAAATGTACTATAAGCTGGTGACGTGCCCTGCTAGTGATCTGCTCATCCTTCTCCCAAGACCCTCTGGACCGGAAAGATATTCACATCAGGGAATTGGAGAAAATTGCAAGGAAATAATTTTAATTGCCACTGGTGGCTAAACACATGTACAAGAAAGATTTATGTCCGCCCACATCGCCGGTCATATGTCCATACGAATAGAAGTGGCGATGGTACACTCGAGTCTCAGCCAGGTATTCACGATGTCTAAGATTTCAAAGCCACCTCCCTTACACCTTGCAGAGCTTACTGTTTTGACTGGGAAGATGGCCCCAGATCTTCTTTTGGAGCTCCCACTTCTCTGAACCAACGCCGTTGGTAGCGTAGAAGAGCTGGTGCGGATCCCAGCTCTCCTTGATCTTGGACAGCAGCTCGTAGTTCTCGCCCCAGAAGACGGTGCCGAAGTTGGGTTCGATGTAGTCCGACTCGGAATGGTACGCTCGAGGCTCCGACAGGACCGTGTCCCACTTGGGCAGCCACTCGTTGGTCAGCTTGAGGGACGCGGCCTTCTTGGTCGCCACGTCGGCCGTGTCGCTCCAGAGGGCTGCGCAGATGCCGTGGAGGACCGTTGTGCGCCAGGCTGGGTTGGCGGCGGTGTGCGGGTAGCCTTGCACGCCGGTGAAGGTGTTGAAGCCGATGAAGTACAGGCCGTCTTCGATCGTCTCCTTGACTGCGTCGAAAGTGTCGCCGACGATGGTATCGTTTGCCCAGTTGTCGTGGGGGAATAGTCGGCTGCCCTGACGGATGGTGGACGAACCCCAGGGCTCGAGAGCAAAGGATGCCTTCCAAGCGCCGTAAAAATCGGTAAACTCGTCGTATACGGGGTCGATCTCAACGCCAAGATCTGCCCACGCTTCGAATAGGGGCTCGACGAGGGCCTTGAGCTCCGTCACGGTCATGTTGGGAGCGAACCAGGGGGACATGGTAAAGGTGTAGCCGGTTCCAACGTTGGCAATGATGAAGTACTCGTAGCACTTGTAGTCGCGCGCCCACTTGGGAAACTCATCCCAGTAGAGCTTGACGGCGTCCCAGAAGGTGGCGTCGGTCATGTTGCCGGTGGCCGAGGAGAAGGAGAAGGTCAGCGAGGAAAGGGCAGTGATCTTGGGATGGGCCTTGACGACAACCGAGGTGACGACTCCGAAGACGCCGCCTCCGCCGCCGCGGATGGCCCAGAAGAGATCAGAGTTGGTCTCCTCGGTGGCAGTGACGAAGCGGCCGTCTGCAGTGACAACCTCGAAGGCCAGGACCTGGTCGCAGGCAAGACCGTAGATGGCGGAGAGAGGCCCGTGGCCGCCGCCTTGGATGAAACCGCCCATAACCCCAACGGTCTGGCCCTCGCCACCGATGAGCACCACGCCGTTGTCGTGGGCGGCCTTGTAGACCTCAAAGGCCTGAACCCCAGAGCCCGCCTTGACGGCGGGGCCGGTGTAGGCGCCCTGGGTGTACGACTCATGGTACTCGATGGTCTTGAGGTTGTGCGTCCAGATGGACAGGGCGCCGTAGCCAGTCGACTTGGCACCAAAGTCATGGCCCGTGTTCTTGATGACGAGACGCAGATTCAAGTTGCGGGCCAGGTTGACGGCCAGCTGGATGTGCGCGACCGAGGAGGCGTTGACCGTGTACAACGGGTAGCCGCCAATCTCGCACGAGGTGCCGGCTACGAAGAGGCCGGGCGGCACGCAGGTGAGGTTCTCGAAGAGCACGGCGTTGATGGCGGTGGGGTCCTCGGCCTGGATGTAGGAGCCGTTGTACCAGTTGTCGGAGATGTATGCGCATTCGGCCTCGTCGTACGTGCCAAAGTTGTGGTAGCAGACGGAGGCGTAGGGGACTGTCCTCTGGATGGAACCGCCGGTCAGGAGGCTCAAGACCTTCCACACGGTGGCGCTGGGGAAGAGGGCGTCGCCGGGGGCTGTCTTGCAGTTGCTGAACGACGAGCGCCTCTCTAGGGACGTGGTGCTGTTGTCCTCGAAGGCGAACAACTCAATGTGTGATAGCTCGAGCTCCGTGAGGTTGGAGAGCACCGAGTCAGTGAGCTGGAGAGTCTCGCCCTCGAAGAGAGCGGCTGTGGAGCTGAGGATCCGGTCCGCAGCGGGAGCGATGACGGACTCGTCGGCGTCTGGAAACACGCACGAGTTTAGTAAGACGGAAGAGACGCTGGACATAAATTGGAAACATACTAATTGTCTCGCCATGGACAACAACGGTCTGGGCAATGGCAGTGCTCGCAAGAGCCGCAAAGGCGAGGAGCCGTGTGACGGACATGGTGACCACGTGAGGGGATATAATCCGGGCCCAAGGGTCTTAGTCTAGTGTGGCTAAGACGAAGGAGAAGACGAAACAACGGACGACGGGATGTTATACGTTATCTATACCAAAGAGGCAACGGAGGGGCGGCCAGGGACATGTCCATCTTGTCCATCAATGGCCTCTTCGAATCCATGGGCCAGTTGTCGTGTCTCTCGGAGGACAAGGGCGAGAATGGAAGAACTCATTTAACAGCGTAGTGGAACGTTGTTGTTGGTTGTTGATGGGTCTGTCAACGGTGACATGGCATGGGGTGAGGTGAAGGATCCGTTGACCAGGTTGTGGAGGCTGAAAGAAGGAGAGGAAGAGTGAGTGGGAGCTCTTGGTAGGTAGAACCAAGTCTCTGGGACAGACTAGACTGCCTGAGTTGATGTTGATACAATGTGTATCGATACTACAGTACTATACGAATCAATATGGCTGCACATTAGTGTCCACCTCCAACAGACATGAACACCCATGAATTGTTCCCGTAGGTATTCGCCGTATGTGGCGAGGCTTGTATAGCCTGCGAGAAGATGCCCCGCAAGGTTTCATCACTGCCGGGCACAATGTCTGATTCTGGGGTCTCGATGCGCATCCCTGGAGGCGTCCTGGAGCATGTTGATCGCCCTTGTTGGTGAAGATATCTCCGTCTTACCAGACCCCTAGGACCCGCAGCCTTAACAAGAGCTGGCTACAAGACCCCAGCGTACCCGCTAGGGCTCGATCTGGATATCTACTCGTAATGCTCGCAGAAGAAAAGAACGGCATCCCCTGTTTGTCTGTCGAGGCCGCTCGACGAGCTTGGATCTTTCTCCGACCCGTTCGGAGTGGCCAAGACTGCACTGCAACGTCAGCTCAAAACCCTGACAGTGCGTGTTTGAAGTTGATGAGGAGGAGAAACACGCGGAGGGAAGTTGTTGTTTTGGTGTGATATGGTTTGCATTATGGAATGACAAATTGTTGGTGGGTTTGAATAGCTTCCCTGAACTGCCGCGTCCGCATCGACCAGCGCCTGTTATCATCTCGGCTCATGGCCTTTTATTTTTATCTTTAGCTAAACGATGGAGCCAGGGACGGGACCCCAGACGCAGAAGATCATCAAGATCGCCAACAGCAACATCCGTTGTGTAGATGAGATGGATCACCATCCCGGGCCGGGGGCCAAGTGGGAACGGACAAGGCACGACGACCCCTGGGCAATTCGGTATTCTGCAGCTATGCTACCATGGGTAAGGTGGTAGAACCGTGGAATCATTCTCTCTTGGTTAGATTATCGTGGCGTCTCTCTCCGCCCTGCTCGTTCGCGGGAACTGGAAACCAACAGCCAGCAACACTGCACGTTAACCTCCGATGCAGCAGCTGAAAAGTCCCCGATTTCAACCAGTGCGTTTCTCAATGGCGTAGTTTTGCGCTTGCGGCGGGCTGGCCGATCCATCAAGCAGAAACGACGGTTCCGTACATGCTACATGATAGTAAGCAAGATGCCTGTTCGCTGCCATGCTCTGGGCAGGCATATATCGCAGCTGTGGAGCAAAAATCTATCGCCTACTCTCGTGAGGACCTAGTTTTGCTTCTTCCGTCTTGGGTCGAGCCACTGGATACACCGGGCGCGGCATCCAAGTAAGGGACGGCGCCGTTCTGCCACGAGGAGGAGGCACTGAAACCCAGACGTCCGCTCAACGGCTGCAATGTAGAATCGTCTGTGTGGCTGCCGCCGCAGGGGACAACCCTCCAGCAGCTGCAGCGACCAGACCGCCCGTGAGCGTGGCGAGCGCATTCGGCCTTGCAGGCTGCGATCCAGGGCAGGCAGATAGACTCAGCATGCCACCTTGGTGTTGGCTCAGCTGTCGTGTGAGTCGAGAAGCAAGAGAAGGATCGTCTTGCGAAGACAACAAGCATAGGACTTGGGCCACTTCCCGCCCCATGCGGCTTCTCCACCTCTCTCGGTCCTCCTCTCTCGGCCCTCCTCAGCGGCTCCCGTGGGACGTGCGAGAAGCCGTCGCCGAGCCGCCTCTGCCGTACCATATCGTGTATTCCGTAAGCGTTGGATGTCTGAGGCCCGTACCAGAAATGCCACAGACTGTCGTTAGTTTCCTGTGTAGTTACATGGGAGATATGCGGCATGGCTGCGCACTCCCTCGTCTTCGTTGCCTCATCCAGCCCGTGCCTGGCGAACGAACCTCTCCGGAGAGGCGGGCGTGTAGTTAAGCTGGAACAGCGAATATGTATATAATCTAATCCTGCTTCCCCACGGCTGCAGTGTGCTCGGTGTCCGTTCAGCTTGGGTCTGTTTCGCTCCGTTCCCCCGGCCTGGGCGAATCCTGATAAAGACACTCTCTTGGTGGTATTCTTTTTCTTTTCGTTTCCTTTCTTTTGCTCTCCTTCTTTGGGGGTTCTCCTTTGCTTCTTTCTTACGAGCTGGATCTCTAACGGCGTTCCGTGGGCAACGTCCTTGTCGACATAATGAGACACGATTTTGCGGTGGCGCTCGCCAACGGCGTGTATGAGAGGGCAACGAGCGATGTCCCTTATCCCTATTCACGGCTTCAACATATCGGCTTCTTCATTCTTTTCTTCTTCCCGGCCATGGCGTTGGCCGTGTGTATACTAAGGCTTTACGGAAGATTCTCCTCAAAGCAAT